AAGGTGTGAAGGATTGAAGAAATTGTTTATGTAATAATCTAAGATGAGGTCTGATAAAGACCTTTTGTGCCCTCTGTAATGCTTTTGCGCTACCGCTCACAGGATGAGTATGGGGTGCACAATAAACTAGCCGCCTTCGGCGGCAACAATCAAAATCAATCAACCAGGGTGCTTAAAGAATGCAAAGAGGAGCTTTCCGAGCCACTGTCTACCATATTTAATAAATCAATAGAGTTAGGCAGAGTGCCAGAGTCATGGAAGGTAGCTAATGTGGTACCAATTTTTAAGAAAGGAGATAGATCACTTGCGTCAAACTATCGGCCAAATAGCCTAACGTCTATTGTGGGGAAGTTACTTGAATCAATAATTGCAAATACAATTCATCTGCATCTTGAAAAACATAAATTAATAAATGAGTCGCAACATGGTTTTACAAATGGCCATTCATGTTTAACAAATTTGCTAACTTTTTACTCCAGCATAGTTGAGGCAGTTGATAGTGGTAAGGATTGTGATGTTGTGTACCTTGACATTAGCAAAGCTTTTGATACAGTGCCACATGAAAGAATAATTAAAAAAATAGAAGCACATGGTATTTGGGGAGCTATATTAAGTTGGATTAGGGTATGGCTATTCCAAAGGAAACAGAGAGTTAGCATAAATGGGGTTAAGTCAGAGTGGGTTAATGTTGTTAGTGGAGTACCTCAGGGCTCTGTCCTGGTACTTCTGTTGTTTATAATATATATAAATGATTTAGATTCAGGTTTGAGTAGCAAATCGATGATATTTGAGTTTGAGATGATACAAAAATCGGTAGGGAAATTAACACGAAAGAAGACTCGCTATCACTTCAAGTTGATCTAAATAGGGTTTTAAAATGGTCAAAAGACTGGCAGATGCAGTTTAATTCTAATAAATGTAAAGTTTTGCGGCTAGGTAATGATGATAGAGTTACAAGATACGAGCTAGATGGTGTTGAGATTGCGAAGTCGGATTGCGAAAGGGATCTGGGAGTTATGATTAGTAAGAATTTAAAACATAAGGATCAATGCATGAATGTTCGTAATAAGGCGAATAGGACACTGGGATTTGTTAATCGAAGCGTTAGAAACATGACACCTGGTGTGGTTCTTCAGCTATATCTTGCTCTGGTTAGGCCCCATTTAGATTATGCAGTTCAGTTTTGGTCGCCGTACTATAGAATATATATCAATTCACTTGAACGTGTCCATCGTAGGATGACTAAGTTAATTCCCCAAATTAGAAATCTTTCATATGAAGAAAGATTAATAAAGCTTAAGTTGCATTCACTGGAAAGGCGAAGAGTTAGGGGTGACATGATAGAGGTTTACAAGTGGGTGAATAGACATAACAAAGGGGATATTAATAGGGTATTGAAAGTATTAACACAAGACAGAACACGAAACAATGGGTATAAATTGGATAAGTTTAGATTTAGGAAAGACTTGAATAAATACTGATTCGGTAACAGGGTTGTTGATTTGTGGACTCAATTACCGCATAACGTGGTGGAGATGGAGTCCCTCGATTTTTTCAAGCGTGGGTTGTACATGTATATGAATGGGATTGGGTGGTTATAAATAGGAGCTGTATCGTATGGGCCAATAGGCCTTCTGCCGTTACCTTTGTTCTTATGTTCTTATTATCGATTTTCTTCATTGCAAGTTGTTATTGTTGTTTTAGATTGATCTACTCTAAAAGGAACTTTTTTCTAATTTAGTAACTAAAATTTCTATGTAGCACGGGCTATGGTGAACCGGTAAACCAATACAATTGACTGCAACCGATGATGATTTCATAAATATTTCCATTTCACACAGAAATCACACTAACGTGATACATCAGTCGATTAAGGCAGTGTCTGGGATGCTCCCGGACGCAGGTTCGAATCCTCGTCACGGCCCTTGTGGATTTGTTTATTTCCATTTCGTCAGGTACATGTAGAGGTGAGGTGTTTTAACATAAATAGATCTGAAAATCTGGCAGAAAAACGTCGATCGGACTGTGTGTAAACTGGCTAGAAGATAGTGTGTTGGTTATCCATTCAGTTAAGGATACATCCTGTCATTTCTACCTCCAAACATGGCAGCTGATATTGATATGAGCCTGGAAGACTATATTAAGACTCGAATGAATATGGTTGGTTCAAGAACATGTCGAGACCGTTCAGAAGATCCTCAGAGGATGTCTGTTTTGAGCACTGTGGTTGTGGCAAGTCAATGCAAGGATATGACAGACAAAGTAAGTTACGCTTTCCTTATATTAATCTGAGATAATTAGTAAACATTAAATTTCAACTAATAACTACAAAATGTAAAGTAACCTATTTCAATCATTTCTAATGATGGAGTTTTTATGATTCTTAATATGTTAACTGTATCTGAGTTAGTGAATCAGAGGCATAATATTCCGGATTAGAGGAACGTTAACTTTTATATTACTAGTTCTGCTTGAATGATTCCTATTTTTGTCTAAATCATTTTTCATTGAGTTTTTAAGAAGTCTTACTCGATGAAACCATGTTATATATAAAAAAAAAATCACGTTTTACAGGACAATTGCAGAAGGAGCAACACCATGCACAAGAGGGAAGGATTCCGCAATCATAAGTTGGGTGAATCGGCCAAAGTCCTCATATCTAACCTGCGATATACAGTAACAGACGCAGAAATTTATGTGAGTCAAAGAATATTGAATATGAATGAAAGAAAGTTATGAGAGAATTCTGCAGTAATAAGATTTCTAGCGCATCAGTTAACTCTAATATGAACTTGAAATATTAGTTCATATTATTATTGTATTGTAGTTCATTATTATTATTGTAGTGTAGTGCGTGCAAAACGCACAACAATAAAGTGGTGTAACTCAAGCTATTCTCAGCCCGTTTTTAAATATGTACTTGTTCTCCAATACAGAATCTTCAATCTTTTTCAGGAGCTGTTTGCTGAATTTGGAACCATTATAAATGCAGCAGTTAACAATGATAACTTGGGAAAGTCATTAGGTACAGCGTATATTGTCTTTGCCCGAGAAGCAGATGCACTTCAAGCTCTCAAGCAGTACAATGGTTTTCGTTTTCATGGCCGACCAATAGGAATCACCATGGATGGCGGATCAGCTGGTAAGTCATGACATTAGATTTTCTTTGCAAGTTTTCTCTTATGGAAAGGTTGACTTCTTAGCTTTTCACATTAATGTGTCAAGTTCTAGTGATGTCATTATCCATGTATTTGTTGTTCTACTATGAAATATAGTAATTAATGAGTTGTATTATCTTCCCGATATTTAGGTAGTGGCGACATAAAAGATCGGCTTGACTACAACAGAGTCTACAGAAGTGGCTATCGTGGAAAAGACCGCACTGGCTACCGTCTTGGCGATCGTACTAACAAACGGAGTGCATACAAAGGCAGAAAATTCATTAATTACAGTAATAGAGATGTCGAACGTGGTGGAAATGGTAGAGGCGAGCGTGATGTAAGTAGTGACGAACGCTTTGGCTACATTGACAGCAACCACGAGAGATGGTTTGGTAGGCGGGGTACCAGGAATAAGGTATATAATGGCAATGATCCGGATATTGAGTGTGATGCCTGGTAACTCCTGACTAGAAATTGGCTATTGATAATTTTATAAAGTTTTTGTGTAATAAACTTTAAATAATAAACTGTAATAATTTTTTGTTAAATTTGTCTATTGGTTAACCTCAATGATGCAAGAAAATATGTTATTTTACTTATTGGAATGTGAAGCAACTGCAGCCCTGCGCAACAAACTCAACATTCATCCAACGAGAGCAGCTGGATTAGATGTAAAATCCACAGCAACTACAATAGTTAGAAAGGCAGTTGAAGAATGGATAACACTAGTGAACACTGCTTCCATATCCGCCACCACAATAACGTTATTAATATTGACCAAACCACACACTAGTCGATTGTGTGAATGATCCAGGACGGACCGAAACGTCGTCGTCCCTTTACTTTCTAGTGTGTGGTTTGTCAATATTAATAACGTTATGGTGGTGGCGGATATGGAAGCAGTGTTCACAAGTGTTATCCATTCTTCAACTGCCTTTCTAACTATTGTAGTTCCTGTGGATTTTACATATAATCCAGCTGCTCAAGTCGATTGTGAGAATGATCCAGGACGGACCGAAACGTCGTCTTCCCTTATATTTCTAGTGTGTGGTTTGGTCAACATATTTCAGCCACGTTATTGTGACTTTATAACGTTATTGAAACAAGACTAAGACAAGTTTGCTTCGCAGAGGCTCAAAACTGTCAAAGAACAACAAACGGATACCATCTCAAGATTTGCAACTACACACATCTTCACAGATGGATCAGTTGATTAAGAATGAAGTTCTGCTTGTTTAGCAGTTTACACTTACACCCATGAAGTTACTGGAGCATGAATAGTGGGTGTTCAACTTTGCAAACAGAATAATATACCCTGAAAAAGGCAATAAATTATACAATTGAGAATAATTTACATCATGTCATCATGCATGTCGACTCTCCAGGCATTGTTATCCAGCTAGCATAGAAATCATATACAATTCATCACAGAAATCGTACATATAGGAAAAGCCCACAATCTTGAGCTGTCAATTACCCTAAATTGGAGTACAAGTCACATTGGTATAGATGGTAATGAAAGGGCAGACTTACTAGCAAAAACTGCCACTGCTTTACCGTTGTTGTTGTTTCAGATTTAGCTTCTCAGGACAAAGTGTCCATGTAGCACGGGCTATGGTGAGCCCGTAATAGAGTTTGGTTATACCTGATAACCTTGCTTCTGTGATATTAGGGTCCAAGTTTGAAATGGAGGAGGGGATTTTTCCTTTTTCCTTACTTATTTATCGCTTCTGTTTTAGTGCACTGGTTTTAATCTTATTTCATTAACATTATCTTGGTGGCGAATGTAGATGCAGAAGTCCCATTCCTCAACGCCTTTTCTAATCATTGTAGTCGCGGTGGATTGTGCATCTAATGCAGCTGCTGTCGTTGGATTAATATTGAGTTTGATGCGCAGGGCTTCAGTAGCCTCACATTCCAGTAAGTAGTGCAATAGTGGCGCCTCTGCTTCTGTTTCACAGATGTGACACTCTTTAAGTATTGGCTACAAGTGCCAGCAGCACTTGTAACCAAGTCTGAGTCTGTCTATGGCTACTGCAATGTCTCTGGATATCTTTTTGCCAGGCTTGAAAGAGGAGTAACCAGTGGCTTGTTCGTACCATATCGCAGTGGATCTTCCTTCCGCTTCTTTGGCTCTGCGGCGACTTTTGTTAGTTGAGAATATTTTCTTCTTGATTTGCTCCTTTATCTGTGAGAAACTTGGAGGTATTTGAACCTTTACAACAGGTAGAGCAGCGGCAGTTTTTGCTAGTGAGTCTGCCTTTTCATTACCATCTATGCCAATGTGACTTGGTATCCAATTTAGGGTGATTGACAGCCCTCGATTATGGGCTTCTTTTCCTATATGTTGAATTTCTGTGAGGAGTTGTATATTATCTCTGTGCTGACTGGATAACAATGCCTGGAGCGAAGATTTAGAGTCTGTATGACATGTAAATTATTCTCAATTGTATAGTTTATTGCCTCCTTCAGGCCATATAATTCTGTTTGCAATGTTGAGCACCATTCATGCTCCAGTAAGCTTTATGGTTGGTAGTGTAAACTGCTGCCCCAGCAGAACCTTTTCCTTGATCAACTGATCCGTCTGTGAAGATGTGAGTCGTTGTAGGGTTAGAGATATTTTCCATTTGTTGTTCTATTACTTCCTTGAGCCTCTGCGGGTCACATGCTGATTTTTTAACTGGTAATCTTTCAATGATTATCTTTAGATTCGATTCTTCCCATGGAGGAGGCTATCGAAAGTGTGGATATGGTCTATCTTCCCCTTTGTTTTTAATGGTCCATTTCAGGTCCATTTTCTCTACAATCTTGACTACATTATCCACTGTTCTACATTAGCTTGTTCTACACTGTAGGTTTTTCTGAAAGGATCTCTGAATGCTGTCTTTGATTGCTGGCGGTACAGGCTAAAATACCTTCAAGTTTTTCACAGATTAAGCAGCAAATCAAGAAGAAAATACATGCAAATATCAAAAGTCGCCACAGAGCAACACTAGTGAACATTCTGCATCTACATCCACCACCAAGATAATGTTATTATAAGACTAAAACCAGTGCACTAAACAGAAGAGACAAATATTCAAGGGAAAAGGAGGAAACCCCCACCTCGATTTAAAACCTTGACCCAAATATTTTATGAACTATTACTATTATGCTACACAGTAGCAGTATGTCAACACACAATAGAAAAGGAAATAAGTGATATAAATTTGATAAGTTTAGAATGAGGAAAGACCTGGGTAAATGCTGGTTCGGTAACAGGTATGTTACCGAACCAGCAGGGATCTATTAGGCTACTGTGCTAATGTGTAACATAATAGTTTCACATCCCTGTTACCGAACCAGCATTTTGTATAATATATATCAACACACAATAGAAAAGGAAATAAGTGATATAAACTTTATAAGTTTAGAATGAGGAAAGATGTAGGTAAATGCTGGTTCGGTAACAGGATGTGAAACTATTATGTTACACAGTAGCCTAATAGATCCCTGCTGGTTCGGTAACATACCTGTTACCGAACCAGCATTTACCCACATCTTTCCTCATTCTAAACTTATCAAGTTTATATCACTTATTTCCTTTTCTATTGTGTGTTGATATATATTATACATAAGTAATACATAAGTCCCCTTTTTATGCCCATTCATCCACTTGTTTACTTCAGTCATGTCTTCCCTAACTCTTTGCTTTTATAAAAAATATATAATAAGGTTTCCAGTGATGACCAAAACACAATGCAGAAGACGACTTTCGGTATGTCCTAGACCATTATCAAGTTGTGTGAAAGCAGAGAGGAAGAAAGAAAAAAAGTGAGACCTCTCTGTAGTCTCTGTCCTCCTGCCGTCGATCTAATAAAAAGTGTCCGTGTCGTTTGGCCTTCCACCTCAGTTACAGGCCGGCTCCTGTGCGAGGTAAGTCACCATAGTCCGTGCTTATTGAATATTTTTGTTCCCAGTAGCTGAATCTATAACAACAACATCGTTTGGCCTTCTCTTCCTTATCTCCATCACTCTTCCCTTCTCTTCCTTATCTGATGTCAATCTCAGGACATCGTTTAAATGCAACGACTGCATCCCTCCTGTAAGATGCTTAGTCGTGATGTCGACTCTCTGTTCCTCTTGATAATGATTTTCCATAGTCAGAAAGTTGAGTAAGGAAAGGATGTTCTCTCTATCTGATTTTATTTCACCTAAGAAATTGTTTAGGTGAAATAGATTGGAAAGTCCTGGGCAAGAAGGATGGACCGGTCATAGAGTGAGACGTGAACCTAGCGATCGGTGATGTAGGAAGGGATTTCGATGTGGATTCAAAATGTAACTTATTTAAAAATATTCTACACCTAGCACAGAAACGTAGTATACCATGCAAATTTGAATAGATCGAATAATAAAGATCGGAAGTGGATAACAATTCTTGCTTTGAACCTTATAGGTAGGAAGAGAGCTTGGTACAAAAGGATTAAGAGTGGGGAAGACGGTTCAAAGCAAGAAGTCGTCCTACTGGTTAGAAATGTTAAAACAAGAAATGCGGTCAAAAATAAACTATGAAGTTCTCATAGCAGGGAGGGCAAAGACAAATCCTAAAGGTTTTTTCAGTTATATCAAACAAAGATTAGGGAAAGGATAGGTCCATTAAAAACGGAGACAGGGCAGATAACTGATAATGACAAAGAGATGAGTAGAATTTTTAATAAATATTTTATCTCTGTATTTACTAAAGAGTAACTTAAGGGGCCTGGTGACTGGAGATTTTTCCAAATATGAAATATAGTGAAAACAATCTAAATGAATCTCCCGTTATTTGGTATCAACGTAGTGAAAATTTCATCGGAATGTGTTAAGAAATGATTTTTTTAAATTCATGCGTGCACGACAGGCGGCAACCAGTACTGATATTAACGATAACATCTCCTATTTACTGGCAATTAGGAATAAAGAAATGCAACCACATCTCCGATGCACAAAGAAGAAAATCATTAATAAGAAAGGTTTCCAAAGTTGGTATTCAGCTGATGACACCTGGAGGGTCAGATTTCTCCCATAATAATGAGTATGTTATTATGCAGTATTTATTATATATCATATAAATACATTGCTCAATTGCAATATTTGTTATGTCTCTTTGTCTGAAAGTTGACAACTACATTTTTCTCCTTTATTTTTTATGCGGATGTTGTTGTGACTTCTACATCTTGGAGAATGTATATCCGGCACTAAGCATGAGAAGTTGGAACGAAATTGGTCAACATCTTATTAAGTCACAGGTGGCAGAAGTAGTGACTGTTATTTGTTTTGGCCGATTTATTTACAGGTTTCAAACTCTATGGTTGACCAGTCCAGCAAAGAGAACGCCTGGTCGGGGACTGGGCCGCGAGGACGCAAAGCCCTGAAACCGTCTCAAGGTAACATCAAGGCTGTCATTAACATATCTATATATATTTGTGGGGGAAGGTGGTA